TTATGGTTTCACGTTCGTCAGTGAAGTGAATAGATAAGTTATTGCTTATCATAAAATGTTTAGTCTGTACATTGTATAGTCTCACGTTCATCGGTCACATGTACCTGCAGCACACCAAAATCTAATAATTCACATTTCTCTTCTTTCATCGTACTAGACATTCTAACAATCTCTATACTTTTTTGATCCATGTCAATCTCCATACATAGGTGAGGTTTGAATATGACTTTTATTATAAGTCTATCAAATGGTATCTAATCCTAAATTCTTCTCTTAGATTTATATTCTCACATTATCTAACCTGCCATTACGAACACATCATAGTTAAAAAACAAGTTTGAACTAGACATTGATTCGTTTGATTGGGTGGGTATTTATTTTATGTTTTTTTTGTTTATATTAAATGATGTCTTTGTAATATTTAAACATAAATTTAAATTTAAAATTAATAAAGTACTCTGATATAAATTTTAAATTTCTTAATCCAAATAATATAGGGGTGTCGTAATTTTTCCAATTCTACAATTTTAGCATCCCTTAAGAAAAAAATTATTAACACATAAAATATATAAACATATTTGAAATTATAATTTCTATTAAAATAAATTTGTTAAAAAACAATCTTCCAATTTTGTTGTTTATTTCTAGAGTTTGACTCGTGATATATAAATATTTCCTTTAATTTTTTCTTTGAATTAATGGTATTATATATATACATATATATGTATATGAAAATTAAAATTTATTACAAAATTGCTAATATATAATTTTTATACATTAAAAAATATTTACTACTCTGAATATTATATTTTATGATTTTAATCGTCTATTATATCATAGTATATCATATAAACAAATCCAATATTTATAACTAATTGGACTTATATTATGAAATCATTATACTAATAATTTACGAATAAATTATTTTATATTATATATATATATGTTATATAAATTGATTATGATGTGTGATTTTGTATTTTATTATTTATTAGTAATAAATATTGAAAATATTTAATATGAAATCTGTTATGAAATCTATTGGAAATTTTATTTTAGTTATGATTCAATTAAGGAAATCTATTATTTAGTTAGGAAAATATATTAAATGCTTAAATTTAAAATTAGGAAAAGACAAACATACTTAAATATAGGATCAATAAATACTTCAGTGGTATTCTACTGTAAATAAATGGTAAAATAAGAGGTATTTCTATTTTAATAATATAGATGTCATGTATTCGAAGCATGTATAAAATATGGATCCGCTTCACCTGTTACATTAAAAACATTTTCTTATTTTCTTTCTACATAACACACAATACAATTCTTTGTATTGCGTACATATGCATACACATCAAATAGAACATTCATTTAGAAAAGAAAAAAAGAGTCAAGTTAAATAAAAATCGGTATATGCTAATATAATATTGTATTTCTTTTTTTGAAATCTGTATATCTAATAAAAATCTACATACAAGCATTTAGGCAGCATATTCTAACCATATTTTGATAAGATAGTGTATATTGCATACCATATATCCAATTTTGATAGGATAGTGTATCCTCCCTTATATTTGGAGTTCTCTATTTACTAATTTTCATCTATTCTCTATATTTGATATCTTAACTTTCTTAAAACTGATTTCAGAATATGTTTTACCGATCCTTAAAAAAGAAAAAAAAAAGAAAAATTTAGAATATGCCTAGCAATCCTTAAAAAAAATAGTATACCTAATTTTGTATATTTCATAATGTTTAAAATGAAATATCTAGAGCACATTCAAGCATATGTAGTTTTCGATAATGCAATTTGTTAATTACAGTGTTTAAAAATATAAAGACTAGAAACTAATAAATTAGATAAAAAATTGATTTTTTGTTAAAATTATTAAATACCAAAATTACTAAAAAAATAATTTATAATAAAAATTATAAAAAGAAGAATTAAAAGGAATTAATAAACTAATTAAGAAAAATAATGTTAATCGCCAACTCAACCCACTAAATTACTACATATGAAACATTATACATTATAAATTAATGTCATGTACAATATATATTATAATACAAATCAATTCTATAAATGTAAGAGAGATAATATTTATATATATATACATATTATATAACACATTATAAACCACAAGTTAAATCTAATCTAAACAATTTTAATGGAAATTCGAGAAACAGTATCCGTGCACAGCGCGGGTCTATATCTAGTATGGTCTTAACGGAGAACCAAACAAAAAGTAAATCGGCTCGTTATGTGTTTCACTAGATCCGGGTCGTATAACTTGTAAAGCGAGGATTCTAAAATTGCATAAAACTCCTCATCCCTTCAATATTTATACTAAGAACCATTAAAGTCAATTTGTTACACAATTAAACCCCCACTTATTATTCCAAACATATATCTTTTCTTACATTGACCAAAACTAACCAAAACCCTTAAAGATCTAACTTTCCTCTGAAACAATGGCGGCTTCGTCGTCTCCCTCCTCCTCAGACGTATCCTCCGATTCGTCAGACTCCAATCGCCGCCGCAAGGATCGTCGTCGCAGCCGTAGAACCGATCGAGACAGGGACTCGCTCAAGGTACGGAAGAAGAGCCGGTCCAGCTCTAAACGACGCCGTAAGCGCCACCACTCTTCCGATTCCTCTGATTCGTCTCACTCCGATTCCTCCAGGTCCGTGGTTTACAAACTAATTTCATGTTTTGATTGTTTTTTTGTATTTTTTTAATCGATGTTAGGGTTTCTGATTTTGGTATTAATGAAAATTAGATGCGAATATTATGTAAGATTCTCTCTAACTTTTATGTAATTGCAGAAGTGAGAGTTCGGATAGTGAATATGAGAGGTCACGGAGGCACAAGAAGCATGAAAAGCCTAAGAAGGTTTACTTTTTAAGCTCAGATTCAAACAGCATCTTATGATTTGTCTGATTGAAAGTGAGCGTTTTGTTGTTTACAGGGTAAGGATAAGGAGCGAAGCAAGAGTCATCGTCATAAACGGCATAAGAACAGAGACAGAAAGGTGTGAGCTTTTGTCGTATTTTGATATGAACTCTTTTTTTCTTTTGCCTCTGATAAAAGAGTTTTCATCGAGATGACAAGTTACTTATGATACTTCGTTTGCCTTTTCTTTGTGGCCTCTTCGAACTTGGAGCTGGGGTTGGTGACGTGATAAACCTGGGACATTGTTGTTTTTTTTTCTTTTCTGGTCTTGGCGATGTGAGTGTTGTATAGAATGGGGAAGGAGAAGGAAGCAGCGGGCCTGTTAAACTATCCAAGGTACTATATCCTAAAGATCTAAACTTTGCATCAAGTTCCTTTTTTTGCTAACCATGAGTATCACCGTGACTTCTCTATTCTCTGATTCAGTTTTTGGGTCGGGACAAAGACGATGGTGAACGAAGAAGTGCTGTCTCTGGGAAGAAGGTTAGTCAAGACTTACTTTTGGGTTGTTATTCATTAACGATCGAAATCAAGATTTATTTTGTTCCTCACATGGTCTTCTGTGTGTTTTGGGCTACAGATTATGCTGAAGGTTGACAAATCCAAAGAGGACAAAGCTGCAGAGAGCAAGAGAAATGAGTTGCTTAAGTTCTTGAATGCAAGTTTCGACTAGTTTTACTCTAAGCACCAAAGATGTAAGACCTTCTTTAATCAGATTCTAGGTCTGATGATTAAAGATTTTCGTTTTGTTTATCCAAGAGGACATATTTATCATGGAATTGGGTTTTTATTTACAGCATATTGAATTTGGTTTACGTTTAATCTCCATTTTATCTTTTGGTCTGGAAACTCTTTTGTTATCGCACATTGTTCTTCTTGGAAACTCGAGAAATGGTTTCTGAGATTTTATCGGTGCATATATCAGGACCAATTCTAACTTCCATTGTTCAATATTGAACTTTTGAGACACCTCCTGTTACCATGGAGCTGTGTTCCAATGTTGTTCGAGTACATACACTTTGTGCTGAGAAACCTTAGTACGTTCTTATTATAAAAGCAACTTTAGCTGAGCTCATTATCAATTTCCCTAGTAGAAGAGTTCTAGAATTTGAGAGGTTTTGGTTCAAGAAATCATATAAATTTGAATCTCGTTTGCTCCTTAATCATTTGCGAATCACTGGGAATACAATCCGAGTTATGGTATAATAACAGCGACGCTAAACTTGCTTGAACAATTTGTTTTTCCTTTTTTCACGTACACGATAGGTCAAGACTATTATTATATAAAAGTATAAAAGCGTGTGATTCGGACAGACAATTGGGTAATACCTAGGCTAGGACATTTTATCCGGACCCGAAGACCTGACTCGAAAATGTGCGGTTAGGGTATGAATCGAACTGATCATTTTATCCTATTGGATCTTGATGTGGAGGACCTGCAGGTCTTGAATCCGAACCGACCGAACCCGGGGTACCCGAAATATCCAAAACTTCTAGTATATATTATGTATATATATGTTTTAGTATTTTTATGGTATTATGAGTATTATTTTATGTTTCGGATATGGGTTTTCGGATATAACTACGGGTTTTAAGTAAAATTTTAGGATCTTTTAAATATAATTCGAATAATCAGATAAAATTTTGGATATTTTTGTCTTCGGATCAGGTTTTAGATAAAATTTCGGGTATTTTTTGGGTATTTAAATATTTTTCGGTATTTTTGTGTGTTTTAGGTATTTTTTGGACCATACCCAGTAGAATCCGAACTGAACTCGACCCAAAACCAAATCGAATCCGAACTGATAAATACTAATTATCCCATTGGGTCCAACTATATAAGACCCGAACCAACCCGGACCCGGTAGGATCCGAACTGAACCCAAACCGACAAAGTCTAATTACCCTTTTGAGTCTAAATATCTAAGACCCAAAGGACCCAAACCCGACATGGGAAAATGCCCAGGCTACTAATACAGTAATATAGTTATCAAGTTCGCGAATTGGAACATTGGGGTCACTTCCAAAGAGTTCACTTATATAGATAATATGGAAATCCTGTGGTCACTAGAAAAATTTCGAACGAGGCTTGGTAGCATAAAAACACTCAAAAAGGTATTAGGCAAAACATTTAACTGTCGTTCAGAATAGTAACACAGAAAACTTAAAACAATGTCTGCAACAGGAAAAGACGAACGAGAGTTCTCTACCAAAACTTTCATTATGAAAGCAACCATAATGAAACAGCGGAGAGATATTCTTAGACCTTGAATCCACGACTCTTTCGCTTTCCTCTAGCTTTCTCGAACTTCCTTCCCTTAGACCTAACATAGGGCTTGGAGTGGCTGTGTGGCACACCAGGAGCAGGACCAAAGTGCTTCACTGCTTCACGAGAGTTCTTTGGTCCTCTAAGGAGAACCTGTCCACAACACATCAACATAAGCTCAACTTCATATAAACTAACATAAAGGTGTTCATTTTGGAAATTATGACTCACAGTGTTCTGTCCCAAGGGAGCAATGAGAGCAAGCTGATCAAAAGTTAAGCACTCTCCACCCGCTTTCTCAATCCTAGCCCTAGCCCTCTCTGTAAACCTCAAGGCAGTGACCTTCATGGCAGGAATCTCATGCACTCTCAAATCGTCAGTTATTGTCCCAACCAACACAGCAATCTTACCATCCTAAATTAAGAGAAAAAATTTACACAATTTATGCGGAGCCATCTACTTACCCAATAACGTTTATTCTCTGGTCCTAACATAATAGAGCAATGTGGGACTCAAGGAAACACGAACCTTGCCATTCATAAACTCGACGAGCCTGGAGAGTGAAAGAGGAGCTTTGTTGACTTTGCTCATGAAAAGCCTCTTAAGGATCACAGCATCGAACTTGCTCCCGGTTCTCCTTACCAAAAACCTGTATAGCTGCAGAAAGAGAAAATCTCATTAAACCAGAAAAAATCTCATTAAACCAATCTACCATACACATTGAAAAAAAAAAAGAAACAGTAGAATCATAGCACATCCATGTCATTTTACCTTGACAAGAAGCTTGAGGTAGACATCATCGGACTTTGGAGCAGTCCTTTTGGTCTTCTTGCTCTTACCTCCCGCTATCAGATCGATACCCTACAACATCAACAACAAGACAAGACCCTATGAATCAACTACGAAAACAAGTAAATCAGAAATAATACTCACAACACGTAGAAACAGGAACCCCCATACAAGTCATCTCGCTAATGCCTTAACTAATGGACATTAGAGGCACCACACACGAAATCTAACAATACTAGATTCCACTATCGAAACGAACAAACCTAAGGAATAACTAAGCATCCGCTAAAACCACCAGATCAAGCTCAGAAAATGAAGAAAACCAGAAGAGAATATTGAGCGGCGGAGATCAGTACGTACCATGGCTTGTGCTGTCGACGAAGGAAGACGAAAATGAAGTTAGGGTTTATGATTTATAGGAGGAAGCTCTCTCTCATTTTAGGTTTCGCTTTTAGGCTCTTGAGGCCCAAACCATAAGCCCATTTGTTTAAACATCCTTCCTCTTCATGAATAGATCGGCTTTTCTATAAAATAGTAATATGACAAAAGGAACAAAAAAAAACTATGTTCATATCATATCTTTAAAGGAGTGTGTTGGACATGGTCATGGACTTGAACTTGCTTACGAAACATGACTTTGAATTGCAGTTTGTAGACAATGCCTTCAATGAAAGTTATCGGATTACCAATGACCAAACCAGATACCAACAAATAGAGGTACCAACAGCTAGTGGAAATTTTATATTTTTCATAATTATCTTATACACAACATGCCATTGTGTTTATGCACTTAGAGCATCTCCAACAATTTTCTATATTTGCTTTTGTAATAACAATTAGACTTAAAATCACTTTATTTTTATTCTATTTTTTCTTCTAAAATAGAGATTGCTAGTTTCACATCTATATTAGAGGAAGAAATAGCATTCCTCTATAATAGAAGCATATTTTTTTCATTCATAAACTGATCCTGTAACTTTTTATTTTATTAATTATAACCAAAAATATATATTTTTAGTGAAATATATTATTTATATAAATGTAATCATATATATTTTTATTTATTTAATAGTTTGAAAAGAATTTTTTAGTGTAAATGATATCATAATTTTATGAAATGTTAAAATAAATTGGGTTGGTTTAAAAATTTCACAAATGAAATGTATTATTTGTAAAAAAAAATTAAAATATATTAACAATATTCTTTTTTAGAAGAAGAAATTGAGGAATATATTGGAGATAAATCCATCTTTATTATAGAATTCTTCTATTTTAGAGGAAAAATAGAGCAATATATTAGAGATGCTCTTAGTGTGGTAAGCAAGTTCATTAAACGATCTAGTGGAGATCTAATGAATGCAACAATACCAAAAAAAAAAAAAAATTATACTATTAAGTTTTGTCTGGAGTAAGGTTTGTTGTGTACAACTACAACGAATTGTGACGTGAGTAGAGGAAAGTAAGGACTATAATTAGGGTATGGAGGAGAAGATCTAGATCAAGAAAACAACCTAAAGGTTGTCTATCTATCAAGTATGGAAAAGAAGTCCAGTTTCAAAAAAAAAAGTATGGAAAAGAAGTTGATTTTTGAACTTGAATGCAATAATACAATCCATCATTAAAAGGGTTTTTTGGATCTTATTAAGGTTTTCCATTCTAAAAGTTGAACGTTGATTTTCCATTTTTTCAAAAAAAATAATAATATTGACAAAAATGAATAAAACTCATCAAAATTATAACAATTAAGAGTTCATTGTAGTAATCAAAAGTCACCTAATTAAATGAATTCTATTTTAATATAATAATAAAAAGTGTGAAATAGTTATATATGATTTAGAAATCAATATAAATATACATTTATATAATTATAAATAGATTTAGAAGAATAGGAAACTTTTTATAAATTTTTAGCCTTATACATCTTTATAAATGATTTAAAAGTCTTATAAATGTTTAGAAACTCTAATAAAAGATTTTGTAAGCAAGAAAAAAATGTTTATAAATAACTTCAAAAGTTCTAATAATGCCTTACATACAAATCTAATATATATATACACAACTAATATATTTATTTCTATAAAATATATTAAAATATTATATAAAATGTATATAAATAATTGATAAAATAAACGAATTGGTGAAATGTTATATATTATTTCTATAATTTTGCAACTAGTTATACTATAAATTATTATGTGTAATATTATTTGTGTTGTTTGGTAACTTATATTAATTGGTTCTGGAATTATTTTTTTATCTTTAAACCTAATTAATATAAATAATTATAAAAGATATCAACCAATTAAATGATAACATTTTTTTAAACTTCACCTATAAACAACACATAAGGAAAGTCAATTAAGTGACTTCTAAATCAATCAATATATAGTATAGATGCTCCAGTGTCATCTTCAACTTTTGTCTCTCTTCTTCATGATCTTGATTTTACAAGGCTTAACAATGTACAATCCAGTTCAGCCTTAATTACGTAATAAGATGTTCCAAGCCGCCTACAGTTCCAATATTTGACCTCCCTGCCCTTTAGTCATCTTTAAGTAGTCATTTTCATCAATGGAATCATGTATCTCATCAGAAATTCCTCACGAAAGTTCTTGAACTCGCATCCAAGTGAAGTAAAAAAATTGTTTAGAGGAACTAGTAATTTACACATGAACTAGTAATTTTTTATTTATTTCAACCTGTAGTTGAAAGACATGACGGTTAAATGTAAACATCAGTAGTAGAACACCGGTGCATAAAGTTTAGACGTCCTTATCTAATATCTACTGTGACACTGTCTTTCAGAACATAAGAGTAACCGTAGATTGTATACTCTATTGAGGTTAATGGATTCGTATTCAGTATATTTTGTAGTCTAAGTCCAATAGATTAATGTGTTTTTAGTAGTTTTACATTTACAAGATGTTGTAAACGGTATTTTTTTTTCTTTTTGATATAACTTATCGATTGATCAGGTCGGTTTCAAAAGGAATAATCTTAATGCTATAGAGTGGAGTAACTATCATATTATATGATCGAGTTTAGAATACCTTCCGATTAATGTCAGGGTTAAACTGATCGACAGTTACGATCCACCATTTATACCACTTAGATTTAATCCCAAATCCAAAACTGACCAAATAATGATAATTTAGTTCCTAAAAATCAAATTCAAAACTGATGTGTGTATACAACAAACCCTAAAAGATTATCACTAGGTTACCACCACTTGGTTGTCGATGGTATTTTAATAATAATTTCATCACAAAATATTTTTATAAGTTTACATATATGTTAATATATTTTATTTGTAAAACTCTACGAGATGTAAATTTTTTGACACATAAAAAGTATAATTGTGATCATATCGTATTGGTCTACTGATTTTCACTAGATGATGAATCGTCATGTTGGTATAGGCTACGATCGATTTCCCTCTATTTAGAAATTGCTAACTCCACATGTAACAAAGTACCTAGAAACATATAATGATAATATAAATAAATTATATAACAATTTCAACCAGTAAAAGATTAACACATGTCTTCGTAGCTACATGTCATCATGAGAATACTTCTCAAATTTACTAAAGAAAAATATTGGTTCATATAAATATATAATATACTTTTTATTAAATTAAGCATAAAACTATTATTAATGCTAATCATTATTTTCTTAAATAAAATTTACGAAATTAATTAATATGGTTATAATATATATATATATATATATATATATGACAATTAATTATTTGAATATGAAAGATTTGATAAAAATATATATATAGCCTCTACTTTTTTGTTAAATTTATATTATGAAAATAAATTAAAAAATAACATTAACTATATAACAAAAATTAGATTTTTCTATATATGTTATATTTTGAATTTTTCAAAATGACTATCAATTAATAAAAAAATTAAAAGTTTCACATATAATATTTTTGATTAATAGTTTAAATTGTTTTTATATAGCAAGATACAAACAATTATATAATTAATGAACAATAAATATCATTTAATATATATTTAAATTATATGTATATATATATATATATATATATTAGTGATGTTTAAATTAAACTAAATACCATTTAAAAATACATAAATATTTAATTCCAAAATTGCATTGAACAAGTATTGAGAACTTAATACTTTGATGACAAACTTTGAATTTAAATTTTTAAAACGATGATAAATTACTATAAATATTAAATTTCTCACATTAAAAATGAGGTTATCAATATTTTAAAATTTTTGTTCTAAAAATATACAAAAGATCATAAACTATGTTAGTGTGAAATTTTATTTATTAGATATCCAAATTAAAAGTATCACATATATGTTAATATCCTTTATTAATTAGAATTACTTATATAGAGAGATTGTAAAAAAACTGATTATTTTATTTAAATGCTCGCTAAATTAATTGTATATATAATTTCAATTATTCAATATATATGTTTATTATTTTATAACATATAAAAGAACACAAAATAATAAAATATAAAATAATTTTTCTATAAAATTTGTATCCCGCGCAAATGCTTGGGTATTGACCTAGTGTCTGTTAAACACGAGCGTCTCTCCATCTTTTCTATTTAGTCTTTTTTCTACTTTTATGAAAAAAAATAGTCTTTATTGATAAGGTACAAAGTGAAAACCCCTTGGTTATATAGAGTACTAGTGGTTGGCCCGCCCTACGGGCGGGTGTGTTTACACTAAATTTATTTTATGTTAAAATATATTTTAATTTTATAAAATATTTGAGAATTTACTTTATAATAAGATAATAAATATTTTGTTTCCAAAGCTGATATTGTAAATTTTATTAAATTTTCTGAAAGAAAGTTTTTTTTAGTGAACACAAAATTATTAAATAAACAAAATTAAGGAAAATGTAATAATTTATATTTTTTTCTTTTGATTTTTATTTCAGTTTGACATAGTTGAAGAAAATTGAAAAATTAAAATAGCTTTTTTTCTAAGAGTTGCAAATTTAATATCATTATATTAATAATTTTCTCTAGATAATTAATTAATCTTTCTTCAAGCTAAATTAATTTAAATATAACGTAATGTGATAAAACTGTAAAAATATATATTTTAAAGTACTATATAAATAGTTTCAATAATATCATAGGTAATAATTAATATATTTTATTTAACAATAAATTAT